ACCTATTTTCTGCCTTTTTTAACTCCGTTTATGAGCCACCGGGGTCCTCGTGTAGTGACATGCCGTGCACGAATAATGCTATTTCCGAGAACTGTTCCATTATCCATGGGATTGAATTCAGCGTTAGTGAGGTGCTGAGGTCTATAAAGGCGCTGGATTTATCAAAGGGGCCTGGTCCTGACAAAATCCCGGTGGTATTTCTTAAAGAAACCGCAAAAAGCCTGTGCACCCCCATACAAATATTGTTCAATAAATCACTGGCCCTGGGGACATTTCCGGAGGCCTGGAAAGTAGCCAACATTACACCAATCCATAAATCCGGGTCTAAACAGGACGTGGAAAACTACCGTCCCATTTCCATCTTGTCTGCAATCCCAAAACTTTTTGAACGTTTAATCCATAATAAAATATACCCTGTACTTCACAATATCGTATTGCAAGAACAGCACGGTTTTGTTAAAAAACGGTCAACCACGACTAATTTAGTAACCTTCGTTGACTATATTTTTAAGAACATGGATTCTCGGGTTCAGGTGGACTCTATATACACGGACTTTCGGAAGGCATTCGACAAGGTTGATCATAGTCTTCTATTGGAAAAGCTTTCATACAATGGTATACGCGGAGATTTATTGCGCTGGTTCTCTTCTTATGTCAGGAATAGAACTCAGAGAGTTGTCATTAATGGCTTTCAATCTGATACTGTTCGCGTTACTTCCGGGGTGCCTCAGGGTTCGATTTTGGGACCTCTTCTTTTTATTTTATTTATTAACGACGTTAACACTTGTTTCCGTAACTCAAAATTATTGCTTTATGCTGATGATCTGAAAGTATTTCGACCAGTTACTAATATACAGGACTGTAGATTACTACAAGAAGACTTAGATCGATTTACTTATTATTGTAGAAAAAATAAATTGCAGCTCAGTATAAATAAGTGTAGTTGTATAAGCTTCACAAAGAACAGGAATGCCATTAACTATGCATACTCGCTTGATGGGATTTTGTTGTCAAGGGTGTCCGTCGTTCGTGATCTTGGGATTCTTCTTGATGATAAACTTCACCTTAATGGTCATATTGACAGAATTGTGAACAACGCTTATCGCATGTATGGTTTTGTAATGAGATCTTCTAAAGACTTCAGGCGTCCCACGACTTATTTGTATTTATACAAATCTTTAATCAGATCGCAGCTTGAGTATGCGGTGTCGGTATGGAATCCCTTTTACAATAAATATTCGGATCAAATAGAAAAAGTACAAAGTAAGTTTTTGAGGGCAATGCATTATCGTTGTTTTAATGCTTCTGTGTCATACGAAGTTATACGCAAAAGATACAAATTGCTCGAATTAAAATCCAGGCGTAATCTCCTAGGAGCAGTGTTTTTGTATGATCTTTGTAGAAATGCATATGACTGTATTGAAATTCGTAACAGCATAAGTTACATAGTGCCTAGAACCACAATACACCGAGGGGTACGTGCGCGTCCTCAGTTTGCGTTGACGTCCTGTCGAACTAACGCGGGATTGCGAGCGCCTCTACGCCGACTGATGGAAACTTATAATAAGGATTTCCACTATATTGATATGTTTTCTTTTAGTGCCAAACAGTTTAAGGTCAGAGTACTAGAATCACTTACTGATTATTAAAATTGATTTTTTTTTTTGTTTTTTCGTTTTTCATTTGTTTGTATAATGCTAAATTTAATTTCATTTGATTATGCTGGCCGGTCTTATAGTGATTTCATTTTATTTTCATTTAATTTGTAAAAGTCTCAACATGTTTTTTTTTCTCTCTTTTCTGAACCATATATAACCACAAAAAATTATATTATTTATCATACTTTGCCTTTCCCCTCAGGGATCAAAAGGCGTAATGTTATTTATGTTTTCTTAGTATATTTTATTAGTTATATAAGTTTGTGTGATGGTGTTTATGATTTAATTTATATTCTGTGGAAAACGCCGTTGGTTACACATTTGTTGGAACTACCTATGTATTGTGTCATAATGTATCATGTAATGTGTCGCTGTTTGTTTTCCCAAATAAATAAAATAAAATAAAAATAAAATAAAATTTACAGTCTAAATTATTCACCCATTTCGATCCAAAATTTGTAGTATCAATGTCGATAATCGATCTTAATAAAAAAAAAATGTGATCAATTGATAAATGATAGTCTGGTGAAGTAATCTATAGTTTTTAAGTTGGGTCATTTCTCGAGGGCATGTCACAGAAGTCATAAAGGTTCGATGTAAGAGAAAATTTCGGGCCAATAGTAAAAAATACGGCTATAATAAATAATTTAAGTTCGACAGTATTTCGGAATATGCGACAGCAATGTTTCTTATTGGAGTTTTATTGAATTAGGAATAATATCAATTACAAGACGGCGGCGTGTACTTCGCACTTACGGACTTCCGTAATTTCAGAAAAATGAAAAATATTTACCTTAAATTTTTTTATTGATTCGGACTCAGAATCGATAGCCGTATTACCTCCTAGAAAATGACGCGGCTTTAAAAGAACACCTTGTATATTGTTAATAATCATTGGTTCTATTTAGACCCTTATATTTATTTCTACATAATAACATCACGCCTTTTGTCCCCGAAGGGGTAGGCAGGGGTGCACATTACGGCACTTAATGCCACTGTACAATGTAACACCCACTTTTTGCTATTCATGTTATGAGTCCTACGTAATAGGGGGTAAGCTTATTGCCATACACCGGGCAGAATTCCAGACTCCGTGCAGCTACTGAGAATTCTTAAGAATCCAGTATATTTATTTTTTCATTCAGAAACAAATACTTTCGACGATAAATTGATTTAAAATATCGCGTGACGTCATTTTTGTTTTGTGTCGTTTTCTACCTCAAAATGACGTCCCTCTCATAAACTTTGATTCTAACTTTGACCCCTAAACTTTTTAAATTACATACCCTGTCACCATCCCTGTTTTTGTATCAAATAAAAAAAAGTTAGTGTAACTACATTCCAAACAAGACTAGCTCATTTTAAATCTTATTGAACTATAAATCATTGTATTAAATTAAAGGTCACGTCTATTTGTAGTTGAATAGAGTATCATTAAAAGAGGCTTAGCATTTGGCGATACGTTGGCTAGTGATATGTTTTAAAAACGATCTTTGAACAGATGGTCAAGATTATAGTTGCACTTTAAGGCAGTAAAAATAAACTTTTGTATGAATAACACATGTGCATACAGTTCATACAGAAATATGTTCATAGCTTTTAACTCGTCGAATACCGTCATCGTAGATACAATTATGGAACACTAGGTTGCGGTCACCGGTGACCGCTTGGTGTTTGACAGTTTAAGCGAGTTTACCCTTGTTGATATAAGTATTTAGTAATTTAGCTAGTCTAAATTAGACTAGCAGTAAATAAATGATGTCACTAATAATCTAACAGTTAATAAAGAATATTGTTTAACTTATATACACCAGCGACCCGCCCCGGCTTCGCATGGCTGCAATATCCATGTATTATACATATAAACGTTCCTTAAGAATCACTCTATCTATTACAAAAACCGCATCAAAATTCGTGTCATCAACAGCCTATAAATGCCCACTGCTGAGCAAAGCCTCTTCTCACACGGAGAAGGTTAGAGCGTTAATCACCACGCTTGCTCAATGCGGGTTGGCGATTTCAAACTTATAATTAGAAATTATAAGTCCAGGTTTCCTCACGATGTTTTTCCTTCACCGTTTGTCAGTGGTGTCTAAATAATCTTAGAAAGTACATATAACTCGGAAAAAGTCACATTGGTACTTGCCGGTGGTAGGTTTCGAACCCGCACCCTCATGCATGAGAAGTGGGCGTCTTAAACCTCCGGGCCACCACGACTTCTTCTTCAGACTTCACAGCGACGACTTCACCGGACTTCACGACGATCTTTAAAACTACGCCACGACAAAATTCGTGGCGTAGTTTTAAAGATCTAAGCATACATAGGGACAGACAGATGGTGGATAGCGACTTAGTTTTATACTATGTAGTAATGTTGACGATATTAAGTTGCATGCGGAATGGGCACTGGTTTATTTTTAATATGTTTTAAATGAAAAAAATAAACCCTAAATGATAAAATGATACAACTACAAGTGAGAGAGAAGCGTCGGGTTGGATCATCAGAAATGTAAGTAGACATCTACATATTTTAAAGAATAAACACTACTATACAATACCATTAAACGGTACACAATTAATCTCATCATTACCATCTTAATGAAAATGTACATTATAATAATATGCTAGATATTCCTGTCACAGTCAGCCAGTGAGTTTCTCTCACGACTTTGCGTAACAGATTAATGTTTAATTTTCGATTAATTGCTATCACATCCAGTGGTGTGGTGTCCGTGTATTGTCACTCAAAGCACGCCGCGTGAGGTATATGGCCGTTTTCGTAAGAGGTGACTTGAGACCGATAGTGACAGGTGCTGTATTCATAGTCTTGGAAATGGAAGTATCTAAGAAAAATATATTAAAGAAACTTTGTTGTATTTTTTATTGATGCTGAACAGTATGCTTGGAAACATACGTTTAGGTATAAAATATGATAATAACATAACATAACATCACGCCTTTTATTTCCGAATGGGTAGCCAGAGGTGCACATTATGCCACTGTACAATGTAACACCCACTTTTCACTATTTATGTTGAGTCCTTTACTATTATAAAATATTCAAATCTAGAGCTATCTACATATCTCTTGTAATATTACTATTGGAACGTACTTTGAAGAACTTATTGAGACTGAATAGGAAAGGAGCTACGGATACTAAGTAGTGCATATTGTGCATAGTAATAGAAAAAAAAAAAAATAAATGTCACTATTCCAATATCTTCAAATTGTCTTCGAAACTCAAATGTCTTCGTAGAGAAAATCTTGACCACACTATAGATACCGCCACCAACCCGAGTTCGGCGGGCGGTTGGCCGTCTGCGCGCGCGTCGCCAGTGCTACCGGGCCGAGTACGACGCGCACACGTCGCGACACACACACAAGCAAACATGAGGAGTAGTGCACAGTTCGCGGTTTTATTCGCCTGCGTGGCTTACGGTAAGTTTTTTTGATATATAATTACATGGTATAGATCCCAAAAATTAACATGCGACTTGTAGTCTTTCAGGTTCCAACCCTTGACAATAATTAGATGTTTCTTAATTTTAGTCGTTGCGAAAATTCTTTTGAAAGGTTTAGTAAAACTAAATATAAAGTTCATATTTCACTTGAACAACTTTAAATACCTATGATTGTTCAATCTCATAATAAGAGTTCTTAAGGTCACAAAAGCAACTTGTCAGTCATTATAAACTAGCAAGAGCAGGTTCAGTATCATTGATAAACATAATTCTAGACAACAAATTAATATACCAACTTAATTACATAAACATGAAGACACATACTCGTGTACAAAAATCATTAATCTCTCATAGACGACTTATAGAAATAAACTTAAAGAAATACTTTAACAAAAGTGAGCGACTATTGTAAAACTCATTTCTCGAAATTATCATTTAGTTTCACACTATGAATAACATAAAAATTTAATGTTCCTAGATCCAAACCAAATAATCAATTGAATTTAAACAAAACGTAACAAAACGCTTATTTACTAAACCCGTCAACATAGAATATATTATTAGCTCCAAATGATTAACTTTTCACGTATGCACAGTCTCATTTCACCGAACTAGACGAACTTGTTTGACTTCGTAACAAATGTTCTATTCACATATTTCTAACAAACTAGACAAACTGGCCAGGTGTTACAACTTAAATGTCAATAAGATTCCATGTTTGATTTTGTAAAAATATTGACGAAAACAGAAATATAATATTTTCTTTATAAATTGGTGTCGCGATGAAATTTTGGTTTGACAAATTAAATTATGTAAGTTTTATTTGTTTAAAAGACACCGTATTGAGTAATGATGTCATATATTAATTAAATATAATTTAAACGAATCTTATAGCTATATAAGAATGTAGTGATCGTTCATTCAATTTATACAAATTCATCAATGAAGAATTTTTAAAGATAAGATGATTAGAACAGACAAGCACCTATTTATTTATTACTGGGACGACTACTACTATTTCCATATGTTATTGAAAGCTCATTAAGCCTTATTTTTGATTTTTACCTACAACCTCAAAGGTAAATACAACTTCGATCTTTTGAAACTAAAGACTGCGTGAGCTACAGGTGTATCATGAATGAATCGATAAATAAAAACAATAGTAGGCAACAACTTATGATGTAGCAAAATCACTTGTATCAACTTAAAATATAAATAACTATGAACTAAAATATTTACACCTTAAAAAAAAGGTAATAATAAATAAATAAGCTATAATAAGGCATCAAAAAAAAAATTTTCCTCATCATTATCGTGAGGTAGGGTGCCCAAAAGACTGGCAGCATTACCACGTTGAATGGCAATGCTTAACCTTTGTCCAAGGTAAAAGCCAGCCCTTCGATCACCTGAAGTGTCAACCATCCTCTTTACAATATCTTTGTAAAGAAGATGTGCACTTGGGCCCCACGGCCCTAAAGTTTCAACCCCAAACGGTTCGAAAGCATAATTGCCAATCAGGCTATCATACTTTCGCCGTTTGAGGTTCTCGGCAGCAGCAGCGGCAGCACCGGCTCGACACGCTGAGTTTGGAAGATGGGATGGCGCCAGAGTATCAACGCAAGTGGCGTCCCATACTAAAGGCCTACCCATCTTCCAAGGGAATAATGACATACCGTCGGGTCTCTTGCCATCGTTGCGTACCAAGCCATTAGGTTCTAAAGTAGCTGGCACGCCAACGGAGACAAGAGCTCGACGAATGATGTCATTAATATTCGCGTGTCGAGCAAAACGACCCGCACTACGGCTACACGACAAGCCGTGGTGTCCAAGGCTGTTGACATCTTCACCACAACGACAACGATGAGGTGAACAAAATGAAGCCCCAAGCCTTAAACAAATTGCAGCGCGGAATGTGGTGTCGTCCAACAAAGTACCTAAGTTGGACGAAGGCAAAGCAAGAAGCCATAACCCTGACTCCCACTCACCCACAGCCAAAAGGCGAGCTCGCTCTGCAGTTGAACAAGCGGAGTTCAATAGATTTTCGCTCACTTTCCTGCAGAGCGGCTCGTCCCATTGTCTCTGGGAGAGTGATTTGACGGGGGGGTCAATATTTGGGCAAGCGATTTTCCAAGCTTTCACAGCTTCCACTAAAAATGGTACATCAAAATTAACCAGTGATTGAGAAAGAATTTTCCTGGTTAATTCTTCAGTACCATGGGCGGAAGATATGAAAGCTGGTAGGCTTACACTGGAAATTTTACGGACGCCAAGCCCACCCATGCGGACAGGCAGAGTAGCTTGTGTCCAGGCTCGGTCGTCGAGAGCCACATTCAAAATTAAGGATAAAGTTTGTCTAATGCTTCGGTCAATTTTTTCTAAAAGAAGGGGTGCAGACCAGAGGTGGGTCGAGCGCAAAAAATACATAAATTTGGGACCAAAACAACAAAAACGAATAATAGTATAGGCCGAATGCATTCTAATGTGATACAGTCTTTCTGAAACGACAGAAAAATTTTGAATTTTTTCATCAATAAAACTTTGAAAAGAGTCCTCGAAGACGGGCGCACCTAGGAGGCGAAGCGAACATTTATCGACAACCGAGATATTAGGCGCAAAAGTAGTAAATTTTGATATGATCTGTCTGTCGGTAGAGTCATGTAAAAATATCTCACACTTGGAATAATTTAGGTCAAGGCCAATAGCATGAAGTTCGTTTTTTAAAAATTGGAAATCATTTAAAACTGTATCTGCATCGCCTCCCAGGGTACCGTCATCGAGGTACCACACATTAAATTTAGAATTTAGCTGTCGTATAATAGGATTAATGGCCAGGCTAAAAATCACTGGCCCAAGGGGATCGCCTTGTTGACAGCCAACGGCTGATTCCAAAAGGTTGTCCTGATATAATAATTTTGTAGGGTGTCTATAACATTGCCAGAGAAAACTAAAAATTTGGGGTACTTCCTTTTTAACTTCTGTCAACAGAGTATCCCTATTGACCGAATTAAAAGCATTCTTAATGTCAACCTTCAGGATGATATCACCTTTCCTGGAATTCAGGTAGGTCGACAACGCATGCACGGCAGCCTCGCAGCCCCCTCTAGATCCATACCCGAGTTGAAGGGGCTGGAATTTTTCCGAAAGAAGATTATTATAAAATTTGCAACAAATCTTGGCTGCCATGCGACGATAAGTTGTTCCCACGGCAATGGGACGAATACCGCCATCCTTCTTGCGTAGGGCACATAGATTGGCCCCGTACAAAACGTCGATGACGGATTCGTGCACATTGCCGTATCTAAATAATATAAGACATCTTTTTAAATGACGACACTTCTCAATATCATCCTTACCTAACATTTGAATTGTTATGTAAGTTACTATGACAAGTTATGTTAACATTCTTGAGTTTTTTGTCCAAATTCTTGACACGAATAGCAGTTATATCTGACTGCACGCACGATACATTAACCCGAATTTTAATTACATAAATATCAAGTTTATGTTTACTATCGTTGTGTGGAATATACTAAATATAGTAGTATTTTCTATGACATTTCTTTATAGGGGATCATAATTTAGAAAGGGGTAATTTTAAATTGGACAGCCTAAACTGTTCGGTCTGGCTTAAGATTGTTTTCAAAAAGTGAGTTTATTTTACTTTAAAAAGTGTAACATAGGATTGTTATCCTATTTATATTTATATTCTTATCTATTGTTTTTGAAAGTGAATAACAAAGTTGCAATACATTCTTGGTACCCTAATATAACCAATCATTTATAATTGACAATGTACAGAGTACTACTAACTATAAAATTTAAAAATAACTTTAGCTCCATTTCCTAGTAAAACAACATGATACCATATTCCACTAAAGCAAACAATTTCAATTAACAGTAGGCATATGAAATATTAATTAAATACATGGTTGGAACATAATTGTATAAAATAGAGCTGTTTCCTGCAGCCAGTTACCCAACCGATTGGAAAGGGAGCCGGAATTGAGAGCGTTTGTACGAAACTCAAGGCCCACCTGCTGAACGACATTTAAAAAATATATAATGAATTTGGGCCGGCTTGGTGATTTATGTAGTTATGAAATGTTAATGGGGATTGTGATTAATAAGGCTTAAGGTGATTATATCTTTGGACACTGAAGTTTTGGTTTCAAGGTCATTTGAAGTGTTTTTTGTTGGATTTGATTATGTGTGCAGCATTTTGTCTTTTTTAGAAGTGCTAGAGATAGAACTCTCATATCAAATGTAGATAAAAATGTAGATAAAAAATAATTTGAGATGAATAAAAATGTTAATATGGACCTTTAATTTGTGAATTGATTTCTAACGATTTTAATACTTTCAATATTCCAAATGTAATTTACGATCTTAAATATGTATATCGTGTATGGGAGCAACACTCGTGGTTGTAGGTATCAGTATTTATAAGTTCCAGTGTAAAATGCCATCGTGCTATGTAAGCCTACTTTACAAAGATATGTCAATTTACACTGGTTTTTGTAGCCTATATCAACAGCTGTGATCGTGTACACAAGATTACAATGTTAATCATGAGATTAAGATTAAGTAATATCATGGTTATAATCCGTAATTGTTCGTTATGAGCGTTGAAATTGTATAACCATTGCTAACTAAAACTGTCCATACAAAAGAGTTCAACGCGCCGCTTGCACAATTGTGTATTATACATCGATTTTATCTCTCGTAATTCTAGTAAATAGGTGCTTTTGTTCGCTGTTAGTGCTTTAAATGGAACTGTTTTATAGATATTCTTTACAAAATATCTGACAAGTCTAATTGTTTAAGTTATTTTGTTTGAATGGGCTAGTTGTCTTGTTTTGGGCTACGGAACCGTAAATCTACACTCAAAGAATATGCACCGTTTTCTACTTTGTGTGTATATGAGAATATATACCTCTACGGAACAAAGGAGTACCTAAGCTAATGTATTTTGTATAA